CGTTGGGGACGTTTCTGGTTGGTCGCCATAGCAAGTTGGGCTATAGTTGCCCTATTCGTCTCTAACGGCGAACATGCTGGAGACTAGATTAAGCTCCCAGCTGGTGAGCAAGGCGACGTATCTTTACTCTATGTCAGGTTAACAACGCAAATCCGGTATCCTGGTCAAAGGCATGGCCGTAACCAATGGAGATCTCGCAATTAAAAAATGTCTGGAATATTGATGGGCCCACCTACCATTAGTATCGGAAGACCCAGACTGCTGCGCTGAAAGGAAGCTATACAAAGTTGATTGACGACCTAACGATGGCGTGTCACTTTCTCATTGAACTCGGTCAGGTGCAACTCTGCCCAAAACGAGACTCAGTAAAAACGGATCTGGGGTCATGAACTGAGCGTGGTGAAGCGCATTAGCATCATCATCACTACACACGTTAGCCAGAGGTGGTACAGATATTGTGCCATCGGAATCATGGCTGAATAGGAAAACAGGCAGAATAATAAGAAAAGAGCAACAACAAAGCCTTTTTGTCCAGTTTATCACTCAAAGTTTTTGAATTTATTTCAGTTTGTTCTTTTTTATGGGGAGGAAGAAAGGACACCGCAACATACCGATGCACACATCCGCCATTGACATCGATCTTGAGCCATGGCTTCCAAGGTCTTCAATCAGAAATTATCCGCATCTCTCGGACCCCAACCAGGTAGTCGACAACAACCGACCGAGGCCAACTGTTTCGTCAGCTTTTTCATGCGGCTTCTCCATGTTGTAGGCTATCTATCAGACTGTCTCTTCCAGCCCTGTTCAGCAACCGCAAACAACGCACCACGCGGGTAACGCTGGACAGGCATGCGCAATACGTGTCCCAACCACCGCAGTTGATGCAGTGAGACGAGCTCCTCGAGCGAGTGGCTTCCACCTCCCAAGACACGCTGTCTAACTTCCACATTGCTTACGTGGTGCTGCCACCACACACGGGCAATGGACCGCAGACAGCGGTGCTCGAAGACGTATAGCCTACGCAAGTCATCTTTACGAATGGGCCAGGTCTCGCATCCGTACAACAGTACAGCACGAACAATTGCACAATAGACTCGCCGTTTGATGGAGAGACGAATGTCGTGGCGACGCCACAAGTGCCTCAACCTAGAGAAAGCAAGACGTGCTCTCGAGATGCGCATCGAAATCTCGTCTCCAACAGCCCCGCCAGCAGTGATGCAACTTCCCAAGTAGACAAAGCTCTCCACAACCTCCAGTGTCTCACCAGCAAGAGTGAGTGCAGGCAGAGGCACCTGCCAGTCTTGAAAGAGAGCCTTGCATTTGTATGGCGAAAAGTACATCCCATACATTGATGCTTCAATCGCCAAGCGGTTTAGTGCAGGTAGGACGACGTGTGGATCGTCACCCAGCAAGACGATATCATCAGCATAATCCATATCAACAACTCGACTACCTGGGAGGAGCTCAACGCCAGCGTTCAACGAATCGCCTAGAGTGTTCTTCAGGACATCCACAATGGCAAAGTTGAATAGGAACGGAGAGATAGGGCATCCTTGTCGAACTCCACTGGAGACCACAAATGTAGGCGAAAGCTAGCCATAAGCCCTAACCCTGGCCGGGGTCAGACTATAGAGAGCGCGCAGTATGGAGACGAACTTCTCAGGGACACCATTCCTCAGTAGGCAGTGCCACATTATTGTACGATCGACAGAATCGAAGGCTGCACGGATATCCAGGAACACAGCAATTGTTGGCCTCTGATACACATGGCAGAGCTCGAGGATCTGGTGGAGTGTGGAGATTTGATCGATACAGCCGCAACCAGGGCGAAACCCAGCTTGTTCTTCTCGTTGCAACGATTCGCGCGCCTAGGAAGTATGATGGACACCAGCAGCTTGCAAACGACGGGGACTAAACTTATGTCTCTGTAATTGGAGCAGTTTGTGCGCAGACCCTATTTGGAGATGGGGACGACTATCGATGCACTCAAGTTGATGGAACTTTCTCTTTCGACCAAATTTTCGAGAACAAAGCAGTGAGTTCTCGAACCAGCGAAGCGCCACCATCTTTAAATAGAGATGAAGGAAGACCATCAGGGCCGGGGGCTTTATAACGCCTCATGTGCCGGAGCTCCTGCTCGAGTTCCTGGTAAGAGGGAGGATCTGTGGGGGTAGACCACTCGGCCCCAGCGCGAGCGCCAGTGGTAGCAGATGGAGCCGGGGGCCAACAAAACTATGAGCCAAAATGTTCGGGACACCGCTCCAACCGTCGTTGAAGATTGGTGATTAAGGTCCCATCCTCCTCGCATATTGTTTCACTTATACCAGATCGAACACCTTTGGTGACTCGAATGAGGTGGAAAAGATATCTGGTATTACCAGAGAGACTAGTATAGCTCAATGGATCACTGAGACACACAAACCATCGCACCACGGTAAGGTCCAGCCTCATTGCGATGGGTGCACAGGAGCGGGTGTCGGCCAATCCTGGATCAGTACTTTACACTCCGAGTTATCGAAGATCATGCTATGTTTAAATGCTTCAATCGCCAACTGATGCACAATGAGCTGCATACTCTGTGGATCGTCACCAAGTAAGGCGATATCATCGGCATAAACCAAGTCGGTCGCTCGCTCATCTGACAGGAGCTCCAGGACAAAATTTTGGAAACGCAGATCTGCCGACAGGACGTCCTTGTTTGCAAAGTTGAAGAGAAATTGAGACATAGGGCAGCCCTGTCGCATCCAGCTGTTAACAGCGAAGGGCGAGGAACGCTGGCCACAGACCATCACACTTCCAGAAATATGGAGGGGAAGTGCGTGTAAGATGGCAGCAAACTTCGCCTGGACCCTATACTTTGGCAAGTAATGCCATAAAGCAGGTCTATCAACCGAGCCAAATGCAGCCTGCATATTTAAAAATGCGACGATAGTTGGCCTGTGGTAAATGTGGCGGTGTTCACAGAGTTAGCGGAGCGTGAAAATGTTGGGTTAGCCTACGAAGCAGAATGAATGCCAATGAATGCAAATGAAATGAGACTAATCTCTCGATGATTGACAAATGAAGTGCGTGCTCCTTTCCTGAAAATCGAGACAATAATTGATTCACACTGTTTCTTCATGCCAGATTTTGCGAACAGTGAGGTCAGCTGGGTAATGACTGCCACACCGCAGTACCTGGACAGCTCCGTTTGAGCCCGCATCCTTGAATCGCCTCGAGCGTTGGATTTTGAGGCAGACTTCCGCTTCGCTAGAGGGATTCAGTGCGACGAGCCAGAGTAGGCAACACTGTGTACTGCGTGCACTGATGGACGGTGGAGATCAGTTAAACTGCGAGCAAAAGTGCTCGATCCAGCGGTCCAAACACCTCTGCTGGTTGGTGATCGGAGACCTATCCGCCTCGCAAATAACTTAACTCACACCAGGTCTCCTGAGGCCAGTGGACCGAATGAGTTGGAAAAGCTTGCGAGTGCTGCCAGGTGGCAGCGGTTTCCATCTGTAAAGCATGCCCGGACTACCGGTCCTCACCTAAGCTTTTCTTAAGCTGCCGGTTGGCAGAGAAGCGCCACTTGTTGCTATGATTCTGCAGGGATATCCCTGCGGCGGTCGAACAGTTCCAGAGAACGAGTAGAGACTCAAGCCTTTAAGAGGTTTAGAGCTAGACATGAGCAGTACGCAGGCACGCAATACCGATGCTTTGCTGCCGCGCAACCGCCACCGGTCGCACGTGGGCTAAGGATCCTGCGGTGGTCACCCTGACCCTACGCATGCACGAACCCTTGCCGTCAGATTACAAAACAAGCTCGCTACCTTTAGGCTACGGGCGTCGAGTTAGGTCGCAGCTTGATTGTGCGGAAGTGATCATCGCGTTCTGTGTACAAGTCCAATGTTGCTCAATGTCTTGTGGTGGATTGCAATTGAGTACATCTGCCAGTGAAGACTGATATCTCGTCTGTACGCCGTAAAGGCGTTTCGCTGCCGCGGAAAGCATCTAAAACAAAAGGTACCCCGAATCGGAGGAGGGCTGGAGGAAAGTCATCTGTCCCCGCGGCCTAATTCGACTACAGCAGCAAATTTCCATATCGCAGAAAGTAGTTCTATACGCTAATTCAATACATATATGCATGTCAACCTCAAAAAGCGACCATGCGTCGCAGCCACGCGTCATGCTGGAGGAATTGACATGTCGGCATGTGGACGGTCGGTGTTGGGACTAGAACAGGTATATGAGACGCTCGTGCAACAACGCATCATATTGGGATGCGCGAAAGCTGTGGGTCACTCAACATGTCCGCGTAATGTACTACTTTAGCTCTCAGTATGTCACAGAAAACGTCGGTCACAGCGCATTGCGCAGGCATCAAACGGAGCTGGGAAAGTTCTTGCAGCAACATATATCACTTCTAGAGCAATAATGATGAATCTAAAAATAACTCGCTCTTAAAAATGAGTCAGAACTCTATAATTGACAGCAATGTCACAGGTGGGGAGTACAGGACGAGCTGTACGTGACGTCCTCACTGTAAACAGTACCCGTAGACATTTTGAAATTTTTATACATGCAGTCTACTTGCTCTTCAGTCAGATAGAGAACAACCAACCGGTCTTACAATGGTAGGATATCCGGACGACTGCTGTAACATTAATAGTGGCGGCGGCTTCTATCACGTCTGATACAAAAACATAACAGGGGTAAACGACAAACTGTCCCCAAGACGCTAGGTATACAAACTATAAGGGAATAAACTACTTGCCGAGAAATTGGAGAAATTCCACTCAACGAAAGATCACAAGTTGAGATGGATGAAGTTCACCGGAAAGGGACGCTATCTGGACGTCATACAGCTATATATATAGATATGTGCCTTATAGTATGTCATAATAAATTCGTGTGATATCTCGATGATGTTCAGTGGGCCTTGCACGAATATACTGCATTGCGTTTAATCGATAAACCAATATCTGCAGCGTGTAAGGTCTAGAAACAAAACACTAAGGAAGTTACATTGAAATCATCCAATTTTTTATTCATTTGTAACCATCCACAAAGAATGACACATGAACATGTTCGTGTGCTCCGGTGAGTAGTTCGGCGCCAGTGACGAATGGAGAAAGTAGGAACACGAGAACACGGTCGATGCTCACTCATATCGAAAGCAAGTGCTTCTACGCGACATATGGTTATGAAAGTTGAAAGAAGTGATGATTAAATTAACCAGTTGTGGATATACAAAAGCTGGCTCCACCTGGACCGTTCATTGTGATGGCTCTGTATATTTCAAAAAATTGTAGGAGACAACCGGAATAAAACAGGTGGATGACCAATCCATCGAATAGAAACTAAACGGTATCGGGAAGAATCTCGGCCAAACGCGCTTTCTGTGCATTGGTCAGGGACGGTGGAAACACGACACGAAACTCGACAATAATGTCTCCACGGCGATTTGGCTCCTTTGGATATGGAAGTCCTTCACCAGTTATTCGTCGAATCGTTCCAGGAGGGATTACGTCTTTCAAAGCTAGGTTACGCTGGCCCTCCTCGATGGTAGGAATCGAGACTACGCCTCCGCAAAGTGACTGTTTCAGACTGATTCGAGCTATGTACCGAACATCGGTGCCCTCTCGCTTAAAGTGCTTATGGGTCCGATCTTTTACGGTGAACACGACATCGGCGGGAATATTGCCTCCCGGTGTCTCATCTCCTTCTCTGGGAAACGTAATGCGGGTGCCGGCTTTCCAACCTTTCTTGACTTCAACCACCAAAACTTTTTCTTCCTCATGAGTGGTCTTCTTGTCAGGATTGAGCCGACGTCTGGTGATACGCATTCGCTTCGTCGTGCCATGTAGAACGTCCAACAGTGATACTGACAAATCGTGGTGAATTGGAGGATCTTGGGTCTGCCTGCGGGCCCCGCTAACCATCGAAAAGCCCTGCAAGAGTGTAAAGAAGGAACAAGCAGTTAAGTGAGGAAAAAAGAAGCACAACTTTGGGAGGGTCAGTATGAGTAACAGCATTTTGATCCCGAAATAAAGCAACATAATAAAATATGATCGGGTGTCGACAACAGATTACTATCCAAGTATTTAGACCTCAAAAACCGAACGCTAACATGAGTTGTCTCTAGTTTCTACTCGTGGGTTGTCTAAGTGTCCTCGTTGGGGGGATCGTGAAATGGTGTTAGTCCATTGTGGAAGACACGAATCGGTAGTTAACAAAGTTAGTGGTAAAAGCGTAAGGCTAAATGAATCAGCGTTACGCCGGTCGAAAGGAATAGAAACTACTCTCGAGTCTCAACCTGATGAGACCCAGTTACGCATCTATAACTTGTAGCATGTACCAGGATATTACAGGGAATCTACATACTACTACATCGATGATTTTTAAGTGACAGCCAGTTATGCAGAGCTCAGTTGATGCGTCGTGGATATGCATAGCACATACCAACACTCTACTACGTAATCCTTGTGCACAGTGATATTCAATCAAGGGTGTATTTGGTAAAATACATAGTTTTTATAGATTGCAATCGATAGACTCTTAGACATGAATGATGGCAGGTTGAAGATGAAGTAAGCACCTATCTCAGAAAAAAATGGTCAACAAGGTCGACCTATGAAAATCGCCTAGTGAAGGAAGCCAGCCTAGTACTGACTTTGTCTTGCATGAATAAACAGAAAGGCTTGTAGACCCATGTTCGTCCAGACCTGGATTTGGTGGACGTCTCAAGTTTGTCACCAATGAGATGGAAAGACTTACTGGTGTTGTAGAAACAGATTACCGTATCATAAATTTTCCGGCGGTTTCTAATATTCCACTAAATGAGAAACAGGATACTCACCATGAAGCACGCTCGGTAATTCTTGCAGTTGCTTGAGTGTAGATTTTGCCAACGTCAGCAACATTGAGAACAAGCACAATGAACTATACCGTTTCGTTGTCACTGAGCAGTCAAACGTAATCGAATCCACAGAGACGTGACTGAATTCTGAGGCACTGGCTCGGGAAATCGAGCTCAGTGGCTACCCGTGCTTCTGATGAGATAAACTATCGTCTGCTCGCGGTGGCATCTTGCATTACAACCGGTCTTCTATGTGTGGAAGACTAGAGCGATTACCGAGTCAACCATGGCCTGCGAGCACCTATGGTTTTCCATAAACCTCGAACATGGAGAGCTGTTCATGGGTGCAGTTTATCGCAGTCACCTGAGGGTTTGTTTGGATTTAATGCCACATCTCCGAAATCGCAAGAATCATCTCCATTTTCTACTTATGGGTAATATCAATTGTCCTTAACTATGCTGGCCAGATGTCTAACTCATGCCCTGGACACTGTGAGATAAAAATAAGTGCGCGGGTTTGATACTTGAAAGGGGCAGCTGAAAGAATTTAGCGTGTCATCAGGAATATCAGCCGACATCCTAAGGTAAGTGTAGTGTATTGAGAGTTTATCGCAGCAGCTTCCAAGTCAGATGGCCTACCACGCATCCAGGAAAATGTCAGGCGGTCGTTTCGGCCTCTCAGGACTCGTTAATGGTGCACAACCCCGGTTTCACTAGAAACCTAGCGTACGACTTCTCGACACTAGCGGGTTACGCCACTAGCCAGCAACTAATGCCACTAGGCCAATGAGGGTGGAAGAGGGCCGTCATAAGTTACTAACTAGCTGCGAATAGCGCAACCCTTCCTCCATTGCCGTACAAGTTATGGAGGTTGAAGAGGACGAAACTGATGCACAACGTCCCACAACAACAGCTATGTACCACATGATATTTAGAAACTGTAAAGGCAACTGTTTTGATTATCTTTTCCCCATAGTGAAGTAATCTCATCTCCTGCACATAGCAAAAAAGGTGGATAAGGGAAAACAGAGGATCCCTTGTGACGTCGGAAGTACACCGGTGCGCAGCACAGAAGCTCAGCTGCCGTGCGACCGCTATTAGTTGTATGAGAACTGAAGATACTGCGAGGTGGCCCGCACTCATGCAGTTCCGTAATTGCGCCCTTTGGGTCACAAGGCAGACGCCTCATCCCTATGGTCAACAGCCACTGGTGTGGAGCTACGGTATCTACTCACTAACCTCGGCGCGGTGGTATTATTCGAGCATGCGTATAATTTCTTATGGTTTAACCACGGGGAAGCATAAGAGCAAACTAATGACATACGGCCGATACTTAATTCGCTTTGTTGTTTTCAAGTAACATAATTCGGTCGCAACGGAGCTGCACTTTAGCTTAATGCAACAGTTTGTGTACCTCTTCGACCCATGGTTGGCGCTCCCGAGCTCCTTGAGAGCTATTTCTACCAAGTTTATCAAAGGTTAAAATTTCAGTCTCCTAGACTTGCAGGTTGGGAGTTAGAAAAGGAATGGCGTCCATTGCTGTAAAACTGATGCAGTGCCACGTCCGCTGCCTTACAGACAGGCTTTTGAGCCAAAGGCTATATTGAGGGCCCTACTCGTCTTCCTGTTTAAGTCTGGGTGCCCTAGCAGTATTTCGGACCAGGTACAACCATGATTATTTCATCGGCCGTCGCACATCTCTAAAAAGGTCGCCTTAGCAGGAAGGACAAGAGAAAATATGCTACTGCTGATGTTCCGCTACGCACTTTTCCCTCTTTCTCCCACACTCATCTCCTGACCCTCGTTATTAACATTTCCACTATAATCCCCAGGTTAAATGACAGCAGTTGTGATATCAGTGGAGTCATATCTTGTGCAATCGTTTTCCCGCAGGACCCATTGGACGCCTATCCACAACAGCACCTTAGAAGGCCACGGTGTCCCGTTTCCATGGCGGTGTTCAATGTCCGCACTCAAAGACAAATAGGTCCAAGGATGCACTCGCATACACGTTGGACACTAAGTATCAACGTCTGTTGACTGTCCGAAAGTAGGAGTAATAACTCGCACGTAGTTGCCAAACAAATTACATTCGACTTGTCCTCTCGCTATTAGTTACCCGCATCCGGAAACGCTGGCATAGCAACCACTGGTAAAGCTGTGGTGGGCATCGTCCTCAGCGCCAAGGCTTAGTTATCGTTGGTTACCTGAGATTTCGCAAGCGGCCGTTTGTGTGCATCCCACCCGACAACCTCACAGAAATTGATTCACGAAGCAGAACGAGACTGTGTTTGTCTATGGTTGACACGTACACCGCCTCAGATTGCGGTTATGATGCTGTCAAGAACGCCTTCTATCACGAGCTGAACATGCTACTATGCAGCGTTGCCAGTTCAAATATCGTTATTGTTGCGGGAGACATGAATGCTCTCCAGAAGCCGAGGGAGGTGGTAAGTATGGGCTTAACTCCGAACGGATGGACAACGTAGGGCGTCTGTCGCAACTGTGTGCGAAGCACCAGCTGTTTCTTAGTAAACCGCTTTTAGACACGGTGCGCGCCGAAGTGCCACTTGGCGTACCCATATAGCTGGCCAGCGATGGACCCAAATAGATAAGGTTGCCGTACGTTACCGGTGGCGCAGTTTCATCCTGGACTGTCGCTTGTTCTGGAATACCTGCGTGGACTCTGATCACGTTTTGGTACGCTGTCGCTTTTCTATGAGTTTTACCGGGAGGTGTACGAAGTGTCTCCCTAGATTGATAAATGATACCTTAACCTGGCCCTCCGCCAGGTAAGCCTACCAAGATGTCCTGCGCAACGAACTATCACTTGCCAGCCCTAAACATTCCGAGCACCAATGGAATGGAATATCGGCCGATATGCACCATGTTGAAGCATCTGCTTGCGGCACTTTCAATCGTGAATTTCACCGCTTTCGTTTATGCCCGAAATGGCTGCAGTTCGGAAAGCAACAAAGATAGTTCCTATCGTCAGTTCTCGTCTCTTCTCTTCCACGTCGACAAATATTGATCGTGGTCATTGTTGGTGATATGATTGCACAAGTGGGTCGCATTTCGGACTCTGAGTAACACGTTGGAGGCCGTTTCAGGGTCGATGTACGCCGGAGAGACAGTGTCGATCGATTATTGTGACAATGTGCCGAGCACAATCTTCATGTTAGCCGGACCGCTCTCCAATACAAACGTTTACATCGTGTCACCTGGCATACACTCAATTCCTCGATGACCTGGATCCAAATTGACCATATTGCCATCAACTACATATGGCGCATATCGGTTCAAGATTGTCAGTTACTTTAGAGCACGTCCTATCATTGCCTGAGTTTACACCATGCTTGTCGCCTAGAGGTAGCTCATCAGTGGACAATACTTCATCATCATCATCGTTATCATAACCATCGGGAAGTACTGACGCCGGAAGGCCAGCCGCTGTCATCTGCATGGCAAGTGCCTGCATGGCAGTGGAGGATGGGTTTTTTTGAAAGGTCGATCGTGCATCACCAACCTACTGTTGACGAGTCACGAATGGTTGCAAGCGCTGAACCAAGGCCAATCGATCGATGTCATTTACATTAGCTTCAGTAAGGCTTTTGACAAGGTTAACCATGCAGTGCTCCTTGACAGGCTGAGGATGTGCGGTGTTGGTGGTTCGCTGCACAAATGGATCCGAAATTTCCTTGTTGATCGAAAGGAGAGGGTCCAGGTGGACAACCATCTAACTGACTGGTATCCATCGAGCAGCGGCGTGCCCCAAGGCACTGTACTGGGGCCGATTTTGTTTCTGACCCATGTAATCGATGTGCCTCAGCTACTCCAATCACCTTGTGCGTTGTTCGCAGATGACTTGAAGGTATGGAGAGTAATCCGTACACTCAATGATTGTGATTTACTTCAGCAGGACCTCGACCGCCTCTTGACATGGTCTGCAGAGGTTAACCTTCCAATCAACCCTGCCAAGTCGCAATTTATAAGGTTGAGTAAGTGTGAGCACAGCCGAACGTACACAGTGGCTGGTCAACCGTTGCATCCCGCGTCTTTCGTGCGCGACCTCGGTGTGCTCTCACGCTGCGA